CCTCACTCACTCTCTCTCGCTCTTTCTCGCCTCTCTCGCTCTCGCTCTCTCGCTCTCTCTCTCTCTCGCTCTCTCGCTCCTCTCGCTCTCTCTCTCCTCTCTCTCTCTCTCTCTCTCTTCTCTCTCTCTCTCTCTCTCTCTCTCTCTCTCTCTCTCTCTCTCTCTCTCTCTCTCTCTCTCTCTCTCTCTCTCTCTCTCTCCTCCTCCCTCCCTCTCTCTCCTCTCTCCTCTCCCTTCCTCCTCCCTCCCTCCCTCCCTCCCTCCCTCCCTCCTCTCTTCCTCCTCCCCCTCCTCTCCCTCCCTCTCCCTCCTCTCCCTCTCTCCCTCTCTCCCTCTCTCCCTCTCCCTCTCCTCCTCCGTCAATGTAGATGGTTTCGCTCGACGCTTTGATGAGGGGGGAGGGGGGGTCTCTTCGGCGGGTGATGCGCGAGAAATAGGGGGGGGCGGAGATCCTGGCTCCGGCGAGGATTTGGCTTCTCTGTGCTGTGTTGTGTGTGTGTGTGTGTGTGTGTGTGTGTGTGTGTGTGTGTGTGTGTGTGTGTGTGTGTGTGTGTGTGTGTGTGTGTGTGTGTGTGTGTGTGTGTGTGCGTGTGTGTGTGTTCACGCGCGTGTGTACGAATGGCAGTCCTCCAAGAACCCGTCACTCCTCACTGTTGTCTCGTGCCTGATGTATTCATGGATTTCATTGTTCGTGATCCTTTCGTTCCAACAGACCATTTATCTGTGCCGTTAGATGATGTCTGGTCACAATGGGGCGATGGGCCCTTTATCGTAATATATTCGACGGTGAGGGAGGAGAAGAGGGAGAAAGAGAGAGTAGTGTGGAGAGAGAGAGAGAGAGGGGAGAGAGAGAGAGAGAGAGAGAGAGAGAGAGAGAGAGAGGAGAGAGAGAGAGAGAGAGAGAGAGAGAGAGAGAGAGAGAGAGAGAGAGAGAGAGAGAGGACGAGTGAAACGAAAAGGATATAGAATAAAAATAAAGAATAAAAAAGGAGAGAGGGAAATACAAGCAAACAGAGAAAACTGCGACAGCGAAAGAGGAAGTGAAGGAGAGAAAGAGAGCCCATGACAGCGTATACCGAGAGCTCTTTCTCCACGCCCTTTCCTTCCAAACTCCCCTCCCCCTTTCCCCTCCCTCCACCGCCCGAATGAAAGTGAAAAGGTGAGCGAGAGAAGAACGGTTTCATGATTCGGGGCTTAGAAGCTCGGCGTGGATAGAGCGGGAACTGCGTGCGCTGTGCTTGCTTGCTTGTTTGTGCCTGCGCCTGCGCGTCATTGTCTGCGTCTTTGTCTCTTTGTATCTATGACTGAGTCGGTATTGCGTATGGACGGGCCTGCGTCTGTGCCTACGGATGTGTCTTGTGTCTGCGTGCCTGCGTTGTCTGTCTGTGTCTGTCTGCGTGCCTGCGTCTGTGTCTGTGCCTGTGTGCCTTGTCTGGTCTTGGTCTGTGTGCCTTTGTCCTGTGTCTGTGCTGTGTCTGCGTACCTTTGTCTTGTCTCTGTGTAACGTGTCTGCGTGTTGCTCTCTTGCATGTATTACGCGCCTGTCCTGCCGTGCCTGTGTGACTGCTTCCATGCTAGAACTGGTGCCTCCTGCCTGCGTCCCTGCGAGCGAGGTCACTCCGCGCCCCATCCCGAAGCACAGGTCACATACCAAAGCAAAGCGGAACTCGACTTCGGGCTCCATAACATGACCCGGTTCCATGGAGTGTGACCCGGTTTTAAGGCTCGCCATCGGAGGTTCATTAAGCGTATTTATAGCGGTTCCTTTTTGTGGTGTTGCACGCGCTGTTTTTTTTTTTTTTTTTTTTTTTTTTTTTTTTTTTTTCTCTTTCCTCCTTGCTTCGTGTCTTTGTGAACATTCCCGCCCTGGAACGCGTATTTTTCTCTCCTTCCGTGTTTGTATATTCTGATCTTAAGGTTGGAATTTACACGGTGTTACGGTGTTATTATAGAGTTATTCCCCGTTATCGTCATCTCCCTTCGTCCACTTTCCTCTTCTTTTCTTGTTTTTTTTTTTTGTGTTATTCTTCATCTTGTTGATTTGTTATTATTATTATTCGGCTGTTATTTATTTTCCAGGATTAGATATTAATTAATATCCGGGATTTAAGATCGTTGAGAACTGTGAATTATTCCAATAGTGTAATAATGATAATCATCATCGTTACTGATAATAATGTTACCTTTATTATTATTATTTTATAACGCGTATTAAATTAGTTTTCCTTTATTTTTTTCATTATTCATATGCTTACACTTTATAGGCTTCCAGTTTTCCCTGTTTTTTTTTTCATCATTCGTAGGCTTACACATTTTTTTTATAGGCTTCCTACATCTTTCAGTCCAGAAGCCTTATTGGTTGCTGTGACTATCATATGACGTGAAAAAAAATGTTTTATAACATTACCGGAAAATGAATCTTATTGATATATATATTTTTTTGAGTATGTCTATTTTCTTCTCGTCTTCTTCGGGAGGTTTTCTGTGATTAATTCCTCGA